GTAAATAATCAGTGGCTTTGTCATGGGAGGTTTTTATTTAATTGGGGGTGGACCTGGTTTGTCATATTGCATTGTGTCATAGAACTTAAAGCTTTTATTCTATTCTTTTCAAAAAGGTTTCGGAGGGTTTTTGATACTCAATACATCTTCCATATCTTTTCTTTATTTTTAACTCACAGTTGCTGTGAAATTATAATTAGTGATATTTCTAGAAAGAATAATATTGAGTTTTGTATTGCACTTGTCACCCTTGAGTTCTCTGCAGATGTTTTTAGCAAGATGGATGATACGGTAAGGTAATGACTGTGGAGGTAAAATGCATCAACTTGTGAATGTTCAGAAATGACTCACCTATGAGCTCAAACTGGAGGAGCACTTACTTCTGAAAGGATTTTGGCCAGGAAACTCTAGCAAGGAATATGATTATGTTTGCTTTTAGAAGTTAAAGAGGGTAACTCTAGCTTCTAACCTTACATTTATCAGGATCAGAGGAAGGGAGGGGACGTGCAGAGAAAGGAAAGGACCCTGAGGATAATGTGGGAGAATATAGTGGGAGGGTACTGGGCCTTTCCATTAGTTACTGGGAAATCCTAAGTAGGTTACAATAAAAAAAAAATCCTCTTAAAAACTTTTAGCAAATTACTTGAATTATTTTTTAGAGACATCGTTTCCAGACACTGATTTTAAAGGGATCGGAGTTTTCTCACAGATCTGAGTTCAGGAGAAGTGAACTACCCTTTCCCTGTGACCTTGTTGTCTACTAAATTTGGGGGCAGTGTTTTAATCAGTTTCTCTGATAGTTGATAGTCCAAGGTGAGTGCAACATGAACAATAAATGTCAGCCTGTGATCTGTATGGTCCCTTAGACCTGCAGACATCTAGGCCATTAACCATGTGGAATTATTTGTTTTATTTTCTCTTCTATTTGTAACCCAAAATGACATCTTTGGATTCCATTAAAATAAGCAAAAAATGGGCTATGTATTTGGATGCTGATAAACAACAATGATTACTGTTAATGTTATTGATCACTTACAACTACAGTAGTGAGGTATCTATCTACTTATCTATTTATCTATGTATATATCCATCTACCACCTCTTTTCATCCTCCTAACAGTTTTATGAAGACAGGTAATATTACTGTCTTTATAATAGTGAGAAAACTTAACATTCAAGGACTGAAAAATTCCCAGGATCATAACACAAGTAAGAGATAAACCAAGATTTGAGCCTTCTCATTTTGATTATCAAGTCAAACCATCTTGCTATCCTGCCATTTTAATTGATTTCATGTTATGACATTGTCATCATTTGTGTCTCATGGACAACAGAGGCAGGAGTTACTAGAAATGTTGGAATGAGGGACACCTGGGTGGCTCAATCGACTGAGCATTGGACTTCATGAATTTGACCCCCACATCAGGCTCCCTGTTGTCAGTGCAGACCTTGCTTCAGATTCTCTGTTCCCCTCTCTCTCTCTGCCCTTCCCCTGCTCATTATCTCTCTCTCTCTTTCTCTCTCTGTTTCTCTTACACACACACACACACACACACACACACACACACACACACTTAAAAACAAAATTTAAATAAATTTTGGAATGAAACGAGTTGTCCTTTGTTTTACTACTATTCAGTTGTCATTTCCCCATTTCTGGTCACTTGTGTATGAATAGATTCTTACCTAGAGTAATTAAACCAGATAAATTACCAATAAGGTTATAGGATTTTTCTTTGGTACTTTCTGTTTGCCTTGTATTTGCATTATTCTCAGAGAAAAATTTATGAGTGTTCTGAGATCATCCTTCACAGCTGTATTTTGTACAACTCAGTTCCTGTTTTTATTTGTCTGAAGAGAGAGAGAACTTTGGTTTTGATAAAACTCATAAGAGTAGCTAGGAATATTTCTCAAAGCAACAACCTAAATGATTGAGCTCCAGGCCTCCAAATCATGATTTTGTGATGATACTGGGTTGTGTATTTTTTCAGCATTAAACTTATTTAAACCTTATTCTTTACAGAAAGGCTTAAGGCAATTTATAGAAGAGACACAATAACAAGCATAATAATTGGGGGGACAAAAGAATCAGCAAATAAGTCATAAGGAAAAGAAAAACTACCAGGTAGCCTAAATGGTAGGGTTAACTCAAGTGTATAATTGAACTCAAAGTTTGCCTCTGAGCTTCCTGGACACCAGAACAAGGAAGGCTGATGAATTGCATTGTCTCTAGAAAGCATATGTTTAAGGTAACACAGGTGATTGTTGTCACTCCTATTATGAACCCTTCTTTGTTTTCATATCTTTATTACATCCATTCCTTCATATTATTTTTTCTAAGAAAATTGTTAGATGTGGCTCCAACTTTTATAACCCCATATATTCCTGGAGTTTGCATAAACAGAAAAGTTGTTATAAAATAAACATTCATTCTTTTTAAAAAAAATTTAATATTTATTTATTTTTGAGAGAGAGACAGACAGAGAGTGAGTGTGGGAGGGGTAGAGAGAGAGGAAGACACAGAATTTGAAGACACAGAATGCTGATAGCACAGAGCCCGAAGCAGGGCTGGAACTCTCGAACCACAAGATCATGACCTGAGCAGAAGTCTGACACTTAACTGACTGAGTCACCCAGCACCCTAAAATAAACATTCATTCTAAAAATAAATAAATGAATTTATAGTGTGAAGTTACATTTCTGATTAATTCTGTTAGACTATCAAGAATAGTAAAACTCAGTAAATAAATGCTTGAGTATTATGAAAAGAGAAATGTAGGCATCTGTAAAATAGTGCAAATGAGCTGATGAGGAAAATGTGATACACTGGCAATGTTTAGCTCTGCCTCTGGACACATAACGTTCAAGTTGAGCATGTAATGGTGCTGAGAATTCTTGAAGAAGTCACAGGATAAATATATTGAAGAAAATTCACACCATTTTTTTTTACATTATTGACCAAATTTTGTTTCCTCCTGGAGCAATACACTACAATATCAAACTTCACAGTTATCAAAAAAATATTTATAGTTCTGAAAAATGTCTCCATCTAGAACTAGATACCTCAGCTGGCCACCACAGACAACATGAAATATATTTAGACTGCCTTTCAGCTGTTTCCTACAGCTTTTTTTAAAGTCAGAATTTTACTTGACACTGAGTTGTTACCAATCCAGATTCTAGTTGGCATTTTTGTAACCCTTGAACCATTAAATAAATCATAGTCTTGCTACATTAGGATCCAACACTTCAACAAAATGGTTTCTAGACTTTCCTGGTGCAGACTATTTCTTACATTTGACAACAACAAAAAATCCATAATGATTTTCTTTTTATATCATTTTATAACACTTCTGAAACTAAAATTGTGTATTAACTTGTTCCTGATTTGTATTATGGATATTTTCTACAGAAAATAAAATGGATATTTTGTATTATGGATATTTTCTACAGAAAAAAAAACCCTATCATTTCATGGTTGAGAAGAAACCAGTCATTTCATGACTGGTAAGTGGAGTCCATAAAAAATTCAGAAAACATAGATATTTACCAGAATTCCTGGGATTAGATAAATCAATTAGTTGAAAGTAAGTCAATAATTTTCTGCTCAACAGCTTTGATAAACCTGCCCCCTAATTTTGAAGTAAGTGACTTTAAATTGTGTATAATTTTAATATGTTTCCTCTTCTTTTTAAGATATGTCATAAGTTTATGTGTCTTTTGACAGATGAAAAGATGCTTAACATCATCACTCATCATCAGGGAAATACAAACCACAAGTACAATGAGATATCACCTCACAGCATCAGAATGGCTAAAATTAACAACACAGGAAACAATAGGCGTGTGGGCAAGGATGCGGAGAAGGGGGAATGGTCCTACGCTGTTGGTGGGAATGCAAACTTTTGCAGCCTCTCTGGAAAACAGTAGGGACGTTCCTCAAAAAATTACAAGTAGAACTACCCCACAATCCAGCAATTGCACTATAGGCGTTTACCCAAAAGATACAAAAATACTGAATCAAAGAGATTCATTGCACCCCGATGTTTACAGCAGCATTATCAACAATAGCCAAACTATGGAAAGAGCCCAAATGTCCATCAACTGATAAGCGGATAAACAAAAGGTGGTAATATATACATTGGAATATTATTCAGCCATAAAAAAACAATGAAATTTTGCCATTTGCAATGAGGTAGATGAAGCTAGAGTGTATTAAGCTAAGTGAAATAGTCAGTGAAGTACAAATACCATACGATTTCACTCAAATGTGGAATTTAAAAAACAAAACAGATGAACATAGGTGGGAAAAAAGAGAGAGAAACCATAAAACAGACTCTTAACTATAGAGAACAAACTGAGGATTACTGGAGGAGAGGTGGGCATGGGGATTGGCTAGATGGGTAATGGGTACTAAGGAGGACACTTGTGATGAGCACTGGGTGTTATATGTATGTGATGAATCACTAAATTTTACTCCTGAAACCAATATTGCACAGTATGTTAACTAACCAAATTTAAATAAAAACTTGGAAAAAATAAATTAAAAATTATTAATACATTTAAATATATGAACTGAACACCTGAATGCAATGTTGGTTAATGTGGTATCATACAAATAGGTGATCAATCTAATAGAAGAACATGAAACAAGGGGATATTCTTTGGAGCCAGAGTCATTTCAGCATTCCCTTTGCACATAAGAAAACCAGGATCATGGTTAGATATGTTGGACATTTCACTCAATTCTTGGAGGACTCCATTTATATACATGGTTTGAGGCGAGAAATACTGGAAAGCTGGCTTACCACTTAATATCTCTGTTATTTAGAGCTTCCTCAAACTCTTCACTTTTCCTTCATTTAAAATAAAGTTACAAATATCCCCTCCCCCAGGTTTTAAAAATAATTATTTGTATACAACATTTCTTGGCTCATAGAACTATTAAGTATGTTCAACTCTGTTACCTTTCTTTGTATGTTGAATGAAGATTGCCTCGTTTTCATCATTCCAAATTGTTTTCTCTGGAGCTACATTAAACAAGCCTTATTGCTAAAAAGAAAGAGAAAAACATGGGAACTGTCATAAATTTATTCTCTAGACAGTAAACAGAAACACAACATTTGTATAGGGAAATGTCCCTCAAGTTCTGAAAATAAAAGACTTTTTCATTCATAATCAAGGATAATGCTCTATGTCTGCTGTAGGCAAAGATACCAGCAAATTAGATGTATTTTCTGGACAAGAATTGCAGATGATGCAAAAATGATATCATAAGTACACGTATCTGTGAGTTGATTTGCATTTTAGCATACTTTTTTAATCACAAATGAAGAAGACAAATGTTTAAGTGGGCAAAAGATGAATTCTAAGAAAGCAGGAAAAAATGTTTTTTGTTCAGACATGCTATGATGTATAAGAAATGCCAGATTTGATTTATGTCACCCAGAAAAATAGATTTAGGATCAATAAGGGGCTGTTAGGGAGAGACTGCTCTCAACTATCTATAAAAATTGCTTCACGTTGACAGCTTCATGAGGGCAGAAATGTCTTTTTTAGCGGTGTATGCTAAGATCTAGCAGAATATTTGGAAAAATAAAATTAACTTCTTAATAACAGTTTAATAAATAGAAATAAGATTTTAGAAGGAGAAGAGAACTTCCCATTACTCCTTTCTCCCTGCAAAGATATACTCTCTTACAAAGGTAGGTCAGGCTTGAAGTTTAGCAAAAAGATGCTTTGTAGGGAATCCCAAGATGACCATAATGATCTGTACCATACCGTTCAGATTAATGTTGTCAAACTTTTTCTGTAAAGGTCAGATAGTAAATATTCTAGGTGCCGAAGGCCAGACAGTGTCTTTCACAAGTATAACACTTTGCTGTACAAATGCAGCCATAGACAGTAAATAAATGAACTGGTAGGACTGGATTTGGCTCATGGGCACACCATAGTTTGTCAACCTACCATCTAGTTCTGTATTACTCTCTCCCTACTTCCTTCCTTTAGTGATGCACTTTTTATAACTAAAACTATTTTATTTTATTGTGTATTGTGCTAATGTATACATTACAAAATATTAACTTTTTAACCACTTTTTAAGTGCATAGTTTAGTGGCGTTAAGTACACTAACATTTCTGTACAACCATCACTGCTGTCTCCAGATCTTTTACATCATCCCACACTGAAAACGAATGCCCATTAATCAACACCTCCCCTTCTCCTCCATCCTCCGGCCCCTGTAATAACTGTTCTACTTTCTGTCCTTACAGTGGGTTCTTCATATAAGTAGAATCATACAATATTTGTCCCTTTGTGTCTGGCTTATTTCACTTAGCGAGCGTGATGTCTTCGAGTTTCATCCATGTTGTAACATATGTCAGAATTTCATTCCTTTTTTAAGACTTTATTTCCTTTTTGGTGAACAAAAATCAGATTTTATTGTGAAAACTTATGCTCTTTTTTTTTTGTTTGTTTTATAGTTTATTGTCAAGTTGGTTTACATATAACACTCAGGGCTCATCCTAACAAGTGCCTTCCTCCATGCCCATCACTCCCCTTCCCCTCTGCCCCACCTCCAAGCCCTCAAGACTTTATTTTTTAAAAACAGTTTTACATTCACAGTGAAATTCAGAGAGAGGTATAGAAATTTCCCATATACCTCTGCCTCTTCACATGCATAGCCTCCCTCATTATCAACATTCCCTATCAGAGAGTTACAACCTGAGGAACCAAGATTCAGCATATCATAATCACCAGACGTCCATGCTTTATGTTGAGGCTCAGTCTTGGTATTATACATTCGATGTGTCTGATAAATGTTTGAATGACATGTATCTATCATTTCAGTATTATACAGAGTGTTTTTAGTGTTCTAACAATCCTCTGCACTGTGCCTTTCCATTCCTCCATTTCTCATTCCCTATATACCCCTGATCTTTTTGCTATATCAGTTTTCCCTTATCTAGACTGTCATACAGTTGGCATCGTGCATTATGTAGCCTTTTGAGATTGTCTTCTTTCACTTAGTAATAAGCATTGAAGGTTCCTCCACGGCTTGGTAGTTCATCTCATTTTAGTGTTGAATAATACTCCATTGACAGGATATATCACATTTTATTTATCTAGTCACCTACTGAAGAATATCTTGGTTGCTTCCAAGTTTTGGCAATTATAAATAAAGTTTCTATGAACATCTGTGTGCTGCTTTTTATGTACACATAGGTTTTCAACTCCTTTGCCAGACTGTATGGTTAGAATGTGTATAGTTTTATAAGAAACTGCCAAAATGTCTTCCAAAGTGGCTGTACCATTTCACATTCCCACCAGAAATAAATTAAAGCGCTCTTGCTTCACATCTTCACCAACATTTGGTATTGTCAGTGTTTAGATTTGTTTTAGATTAGATTCCAATAAGTGTCTAGGGGTATTTCATTGTTGTCTCAGTTTGCATTTCCCTGATGGCATGTGATGTGGATCATCATTTCATGTGCTTGTTTGACCTATATGTATTCTTTGGTAAGGTATCTTTTAAGGTCTTTGGCCCATTTTTTGACCAGGTTTTTTCTTATTATTGACTTTTAAGAATTCTTTGTATATTTTGGATAATAGTCTTTTATCAGTTGTATCATTTGCAGATATTTTCTCCTTGTCTGTGGCCTGTCTTTTATTCTCTTGACCATGCTTTGTAATACGATTTTATTTAAACATTCCAATTATATCTCAAAGGTCTATAAAAAAATTGAGGGGAAAATGTACTTCTGGCTAAGACTAGAGCAGCTCCTCCTGAGCAAGTATGACGATATCAATGATAGAAAATAAAAGCTCACAAATGGAAATAGAAGTCACAGGAGTAAATTAAGGTTATAAAGTTCAAGCATCTCACTTCCCTAATACCAACTCTGAATAATTTTTCTTAGGTATTTCAGCAATTTTACATGATTGCAAAAGTTTATTAGGGTTCTGTTGTCTGGTAAGATGGAATAAGCACCTTCTGCCACCGATTGCATAACAAAACATGCACAGAATTCATGAGCAGCTACTTGAGAACATTGAAAAGTAAACAGTAACAGGCAGATTGGGGGGAGCATAATTCTAAGTGCCACTAAATCACCAGTGATCTTACCTTTTTTTGGGGGAGTCACATTTGATATCTGCAGACCTGGTCTCAATGTAGCTTGATAAAAATGGGCATTCTCACAGACAGAGAGAGTCATCAGATTACAGCTTGCAAGATGGGAAAGGGATCTTCTAACACTAAAAGATAGTAGGAGTAAAACCCCTGTGATATTGTTGTTTTCGTTTCTCCTTTCTGTCCTCTCCCAGTTTTTAAGCAACCCAGTGCTATTGGTGGTGGCAGTGGAAGCAACAGCAACCATGATGGAGGCACACTGAGGAAGTAGAAGCTTCCTTTATTCACAAGTCAGAGGAGATTAGACCACACAAGAGTGGGGCGAGCACCTGTTGCTTTTTTTTTTTTTTCTTGCTGCATCTCAGTCCAGGAAATTATTACAATTGCAGGGAGTACATAACAGAACTGGGAAAATAAAGTGTCAGCTTTCTGGATGAACTGAAAAGAAGAGCCCTAGAGAGTCCAAAAAGTTCTAGGTAAAAGAAAAAAAAAAGATTTGGGAGAGTGACCAGAAAACATAGTTTATGAGCTCATGGGAACACTCCCAAGATACACATGTGTAACTTTGACATATAATAACATACCGCCAACTTTGAGAACTGAGCTGCAAGGCAGATCACCACCCAGGATTCAGAATGGCTACAGGATGGAACACACATAAGACAGATCCAAATAATACTGCAAAGTCACTGACAAAGGAAGTGACGTTAAGACCATAACTCCCATAAGGCAGAACTTGAAACTGAAACAAACCAGGTCAAATTTCTGCTAAAAGAAAGATGTCAACATTCTTCAGAAGACTTTGCCAAGATGCAGAGAATTCTAGCATAATACTCAAAATGTCCAATATACAATCCAAATGTATATGTGTGAAAAGGCAACAAACAGATGCCAACATTGAGATGACCCATTTGTTAGAATTATCTAACAAAGAATTTAAAGCAAATGTTATAGAAAATCTTCCAACAAGTAAGGTCAGACACCATTGAAGTGAATGGAAAGAGATAAATCTCATCAAAGAAATAAAAGATAATAAATAAGAAACAGAGAATTTAAATTTTTAAAAATGTTTTTATTTATTTTGGGGAGAGAGAGACAGCATGAGCAGCAGAGGGGCAGAAACAGAGGGAGGCACAGAATCTAAAGCAGACTCCAGGCTCTGAGCTGTCAAGACAGAGCCTGACTTGGGGCTTGAACCCACAAACCATGAGATCATGACCTGAGCTAAAGTCAGACGCTTAACCAACTGAGCTACTCAGGTGCCCCAAGAAACAGAAAATATTAAAGCAGAAAAATAAAGTTTGATATTCACTGGATGGACTCAATAGGAGAATGGAAAACACAAAACAAAGAGTGAACTTGGAGATAGAATAATAAAAATGACCCAATATGAATGATAAAGAGGAAAATATTTAAAAATGAGTGGTCAGAGTCTCATGGACTCATAGTACAATGCCAGAAACTTTAAAGTTTGTATCACTGAAGACACAAAACACGGGGTAAAAAAGCATTATTCTAGGAATTATTTAAAGAAATAATAAGAGAAAACCCCCTAAATTTGGAGAAAGACATAAGCCTATGGATTCATAAAGTATAGTCTAGACATAGACATTTTATAAACTTTTCAAAACTAAAGACAAAAAAAGTCTTGAAAGAAACATGGGGAAAATATCACAATACTTACAGTGCAACAATGATTTGAATGCCCATATTTCTGATAAAAACAAAAATGGACACTTGAAGGACATACAATAGCAGTTTTAAAGTGCTGGGAGAGAAAAAAAAATTTATCTCATGCAAAAATGTCTCTTCCATAAATGAAAGTGAAATAAAGATATTAACAGATGAAGGAAAACTGAAAGAATTTATTGCCAGCAGACCAAAACTAAAGGAATTTCTAAAGGAAGTTCATCAGAGAAA